AATTCATGTACAAATATAATACTTACTCTGTAGATGTAATAGTTGTATTGATTTTTAAATTATTATGTAATGGATAAACATCTTCAAGTGGAGCAGATAATAAATTAGAACTAGCTTGTGATGAAGATTGAGTATCATTAGTAACAGCTGAGTGACTGTTTAAAACCAAATTTGTACTTTCACAAATTTTTCGATTTTATTCAGTATAAATTTCAATATTCTTTTCCTTGATTAGACTACGCATTTTATTTGATAAATATTTTGTATCACCAAACATGATTGCATATAAAAATCGAATTGCTCGACCATTTTTAGGAAAATTTAGTTCGAAAACGACATACATTGCTAGTACAAGTGCTAATCCATCATTAGGTGATGTTGTTGAAACAATTGAAAGAAAATCTGTAAACACAGTGATTGTATTATCAGTAAACACCATTGATGGATATGGACTTGATGGTGACGAAAAAAAAATATTCACCATTAGCGAACCAAAAAATGCTTGCGTGCTATATAGCCACAATATATTGATTGTTCTGGCCAACTCATGTAAAAATATGCTGAGAATATCATATCATTCTATATAACTATTAAAAGTTTCTTTCCTGTAAGATGCAAACAATAAAAAAGTTAGTAATATTGATATATCACACAAATGCGAGCTATTTTTCGAAACTATTTGTCTAAACTATTTCTTCCTGAAAAAGACGCGCAACTATTTATAAAAAAACTTTGTTTCGTTAGTTCATTATGAACATTTCGTCTGTCTGTCTATAAAACATAAAAAGATGCATCTTCCAAAGCTACAGCAAAGCACTTACTGTATTGCAATATAAGTGGTGAACTGATTCATCGAATTGACGACAAAGTACACGAATAAGTTGTATTGGTGGAGTATCTAGAAAGACACACGATTATTTGAAATATTTTAATTCCTGCTATAACCTGTAATAAAAGCAGGTGTCACAATAATCTTTTCAAGTAAAATTGGTATTTGACGACGTACGACAACACGTAAATCAGCTCCCATTATCATCTTTACTTCTTCAAAAATCTATTGCAGAAATAAATTTATTAAATGTAAATAAAAGAAGTTACAAATATACTCACCAACACTGAATCTTTATATCCAGGAAATTCTTCAAGAATTTCTGACATTGTTTGATTACGAATAGCTTTACGTCTAACATGAAGAGTTTCTTCCCATAACTGAAGTCGAATATCAAGATCAAGTTGAGGATCATCACGTAACTTTTTGGCTTTATTTTGAATAACAGTTAATGTGTCATCATCGTAAGTTACCAACATTATCTGGAAAAAATTAATCAAAAGCCAAAATATGTGTAATAGAGATTTACTTGTTTTTGTCGATCTCGTTCAGCAACTTCACCAATCATTTTTTTGACTGGACGTCCAGATCCAAATCTTGAATATTTCGACTGATAAGCTTTTACTTCTTCATTATCTCGATGTTCAAAACGTTTTCGTTTGAGTTTAGTTTGAATAGCATCTTTCCAAATTCCCTAGTTGGAAAAACCAATAAAAATCTTAGCTAGTACATATATAGTAGATCGTAACAACAAATACTTGGGAAATGATTATGTCTTTCTGTATTAGAGTTAGTTTCTCAATCCTTGGCTACAAATGATAATCTAATTTTGGAAATGAAACAACTTGAAAGTGTATCATTCATCCTCTCTTCTACAGTTTCAAGTTATTCAGAGTTTGAATGTTGATATCTTTTGATTCTAAGATTGAAAGATATCAATCCATAAAGTTCCATTATAAATATGCATGTGGTTTACGGCATCTCTATAAAGCAAGCTAAAAATATTCTTCAGCTATGTATACAATTGTTTTAAGCTTTGGATTTCTTTTGGCACATTATCGAAAAATATATCCAAATTGTTGTAGAAATAATGTAAAGAAAAAAATCAATTGAAAAGAGAATATTTTAATTAAATATAAAACAATCGAAGTTTGATTTGTTTCATCTAGCAAATCTCTACTTTAAATATGAAATGAATTCTACTGACTAGACTATTTCAAGTCGAGAATCAACTATGCTTCAAATTATAACTGGAAATAGTAATTTTATTGAGTGTTAGAATTGCTAAATCGTTTCCAGAAAGCATATCACTGCATATCTCGTTCTTCTTATGACAAAATGCTATTGCATTATTCGGATTTCTTTATACAATGTTTTACTTTTCTTTTTGGTTTAATTGAAAAATTACTTTTTTTTATGTATTAGCTATATCGGATACTAATGCTTCCTCTCTTAATAGATGAATAGGAAACGTAAAAGATACAAACAATACATCAACCAAATAAATTGCGCAGATTTATGTTCAAAAATTTTCTATCGCATTATTCATTTAAGTTAAATAATAAAAGTTGATTTACAACATTGTCTTTTGTTAATGGCAATTTTAATTTACGAACAATAGCTGTACCTATATCATCAAATTATTTACGAGTCGGATAACTAAATAATAATAAAAAAATCAATAAAGAATTAAATTCAACGAATATGACATTAAACTGTTTATTTATCCAGTTCCTTGATTGATAAAGATATTGTAGTATTAGCATTGTCTGTTTCGTTTGAGACAGGAACAAAACTACTACGGCAATCAGAAATCTCACATTTCATTAAAATCTTGGCAGAATTAATATAAACTTGTATATTCAAAAGTGCTCAACCATTTCAGATAACCTAAAATAGTTTTCAGTTCATTTTACTGATATAAAATAATTTTCTCATGTACTGTACGCGGGAATAGATAACTTTCGTCATAATACAGATTTGCCTACTTGAAAAATTAGTAGAATTTATTGAACACATGTCAGTCAGAATTTAATTACTTATTTAACTTTTTTTTGAATGAATCTACGTAAAATGTGTGAGCGAAGGAACAACTCAAAAAATAGTACTAAAAATAGAAATTGCTTCAATAAATATTTCAAATTTATATTTGCCACAAAAAACACTTTTATGAAAGAAGTATGCTTGACGCAAGGAGCATAAATTATGTCTTTATTTGAAATCACTCCTGGTCGTTCTTAATTAAGTATAGCTTACAAAAGATTGAAATTGTTTATTAAATCATGAGCTATTGTATCAATAAGTACTTGACGATTAGTATGATGTGGCGCAAACTTATAAACTTATGAACTACACCCGCTTCTATATCTTCAAGCAAAGTATTTGGCAATGTTGGAATAATATATTGGTCAGGAAAAGTTGAATTTATTTCTGATTTTGTTGATGATTTCTCTAATATTTGATCATTCATACTATTATCTGTTAAAAAGTTAATTTGCGATTCGAAATAAGAAGAAGAGACTCTAGAATGCAATGTAGAACTTGATGATGAATCCGTAATGGTAATTGAACTATCGTCGTTGATTTTAAACAATTTTTCTCGCTCTCTTAAAAATAAAAGCTTTTGCTTTAATTTTGGAAATAATGTTAATTTTTCGATACTGTCCATCATAAAAAGAGTTACGCCATCAATTTCATGTTCCAAAAAAGATGTGGAAGAGATATATAGTTGTGATGATTAAAAATTTTAAAATCTTAAGACTTTTTTAAGGAAGCTCCACAGTTAGTGTTTTATAAAATTAGAAAAAGACATCATGTTTTTTCTTTTAATATTAAAAATGATTAAAAGATATGGATTTAAACAAAAACGTAACTTTTAAAAGTTTTAAATACGTTATGTTTCAAATCTTAAGTCTAAAGTAAATTTGTCTCTTCTGTTGATGATTCAGATAGATGATGAGGTATCTTATTTTAGTAAAGTAGGAAAATTTATTATTCTCTATAATCCGAAAAATCTATTACGTATGGTTGTTCTAAATTTTTGTATTTGAATATAATACGATGATTTTCAGTCGTATACTATGTCTAATATCTATTGATATAAAAAGAAGTTTAGAAAGATTTAATGATGATCAGATGCAATTAAGTTCTAGTTTGATCAATAAGAAATTTATATATATTTCAATCAGATAAGAACTTGTGGAATACTAACTATCTCTTGTGAATTTATCAATACAAAGTGAGACGTGCAGTAAATGAAACAAAACTTAAGTTATCTAATTCATAAATGTCAAGTCCTTTATAAAAATATTTCGCACAATATGGATCAAGCATAGAATAATTATTCTTTGATTTGATCTCCCAAGCACATAAATTCTCATTGTAACAAATAGTTTTCAATATGTCTACCAACAACCACCATTTGTAATTCATTTTGAGAATACGAACCACTTGAGCAAATCTTGGCGTTTCATAAACATTCATTAAATCTATTACATAAACCCTCGACCGTAGAATAATAAAGCATTTTAATGAAAAAGGTAGAACAATAAACCCTTGGCCGTAGAATAATAAACCCTTTTCCTGAAAGAGTAGAACAATAAACCCTTAGCCGTAGAATAATAAACCATTTACATAAAAGAGTAGAATAATAAACCATTAGCCGTAGAATAATAAACCCTTTTCATGAAAGGGTAGAACAATAAACCCTTAGCCGTAGAATAATAAACCCTTTTCCTGAAAGAGTAGAACAATAAACCCTTAGCCGTAGAATAATAAACCCTTTTCATGAAAGGGTAGAACAATAAACCCTTAGCCGTAGAATAATAAACCCTTTACATAAAAGAGTAGAACAATAAACCCTTAGCCGTAGAATAATAAACCCTTGTCATGAAAGAGTAGAACAATAAATCCTTAGCCGTAGAATAATAAACCCTTTTCATGAAGGAGTAGAACAATAAACCCTTAGCCATAGAATAATAAACCCTTTTTATAAAAAGTAGAACAATAAACCCTTGGCCGTAGAATAATAAACCCTTTTCATGAAAGGGCAGAACAATAAACCCTTTTTCACTAGTCATAAACCCTTTTTATTTTTAAATACCCTTTTTCTCGGAAACCCTTTCGCACAAAAACCCTTTAAGGGTTTAACACACCAGCATAAACCCTTTAAGGGTTTAGGAAAATTTTCCTAAAGTACTAGGGTTTAGTATTCTACGAATTTTTTTTACAGTGCAGATCAGAACTCATCGGTACTTGTTTTGGTACGAGTTTTTGGTCAAGAACATCATAATCCTGTCATCAAAACAGCTGCACGTAAAGTATCTAGTAAAAAACGTTTGCTTGTCGGTAAGAATTTTTACTATTTACGTTGAAAATTTATATTAATATAAAATATACATTTTAGGTAAATGAGCAAATAAAATCGGTCCATTAGCAGCGTACTGTGAACTCGTTAATGATGCTGATAGAGATCTGCTTGCCGTTGGTAGTTATACACAATGCCCAACGAGTGAAACAATAAAAAAAAAAGGCTGCATATTTCCGTAAGAAGATGTGCATTGACGAAAGTATTTTCACAGAGTGTCGTATAATTCGTAAGGTTTATTTGAATGATGATAAGTCATCCGAACATATTCATGGTAAGACTAATATTTATGAAAAAATTCATTCAACAATTTCTGCGTTTTTTGCC